AAGATCAAGATGATGCAGATGTGCCCGTGGCAGTGGCAGGGAATAACCAACGAGGACTTGCACACAGAGCTGATTTCACATTGCAGCACTTCAGTTAAATAAAGATGTATTAACCATGGAGTATATCGATTCTGACTTATTTTGACTTTAATGGTGTTTGTTGTGTACAAAATGTAAAAGTATGCAGCAAAATTAAACGAGTAATTCAACCAAAGCGGATTTAAAATATAGTTTGTGGTGACAATATTAACAGTCTTACCAAATAAGATAACAGTTTTATTTACACAATTTATTTAATCACATTTTTCAGCATAGCTGTCTTGTGCAGCTTTCTTTGAGCAGCTCTTTCTTCTAATTTCATGTCTAATTCAACCTGTAAAATTCTCATTTTCATGTCATGCTCTTCTTTCAGATATTTCATTTTCTGCTCATGAAACTCTAGGGCTAGTTTATTATGCATGAACATCCTTTTTGATCTCTGCTGGAATGTAGTGGCAGCATCTTCTCTCTGGCATGCCTCACCAGATGTGGAGGGTGCACAGGCACTGTGCGCTGGCTCTTCCATCAGGATAAGTGTAGTTTCCCCTGTGTAAAGCACACTGTTAGAAACACAAACCGGTGTGGCCCTTAGACTGAAACACAAATACAGATAGACACAAACAGGAGAATATTTGTACAGAAGGAGGTAACCTTTCTTTGGTAAACTTAATATTCGTGTTCTGTTCTTCATGTCCACTGTCCACATGGTCATTGTCTGGTCTACCTTCCAGAGGCTGATGGTTCTCCATTATTCCAGACAACAAGTCACCCAATTAATCTGTTTTGTCTTTCCTTGGTGGTGGTCCACAACCAGTAGTAAATCATTCTCTTCTAACCTCTGCATCCTTTTTTTTTTCAGATTTAGTTTTATGTTCTTCCACAGGGTCTATGAAGGCAGATATAATTGAATAAAAACAATATATTAAACTTAACACTGAATATAAAAACAATAGTAATAATAATAATCCCTATTTATGAAGCAACTGTCCATCAAATATGTAGCTCAAAAAGTGTCCGTCAGCATTACAGTGAAAACCACCGCATATGCAATAAAATAAGACAATGCAATATGAAACAACATAGAAGAATACAATTAAAAAAAAACATTGCTATTAACAGATACTGTGATAATCACAATCAAGCATATATTTGTTATATAGTGATCATAAAAGACATATCTCACCTGCAGTTGTACTTCTCTTATGGTTACATTATGATCTGCATTGAATTCATTACAAATTGCAGCCCAAGCACTTTTCTTCTTATGCTCAGTAGAAGCAGTATGGCTCTTACTTTCAATGGCAGGATGATTTGTGACAATTTGTTTAAGTAAAGTTTTTTCATACTCCGCATAGTTTTTTTGAGCGAGTTCTTTTGGCTTCAGCCATTGTTTGTTGTCGAAATTCACTCCAGAAATGCTGCCCTCAATTCCATTCCAGGTTTTTATAAGCAAGAGTAAACCGGTTGTGCTCCCACTTAGGCTAATGAGGCTCGATGCAGGTGTTCTCATTAGGCTTACTCAAACAAAGTTAAGCCACGTTCAAGCAAGCCACTTAAATGCCATAGTTTAACAAGTCCAGATTAGGCCTACTCCTGTCTTAATCTAAGCCTCGTCTACGAAACCGGCCCATGATGTATTGAAATCTCTGGACTTTTCTGAAACGCTTAGTTTTATTTTCATTTAATATTCTCTCTCCCTTATTGTCTACCTTATAACAATAAAACCTATTTCAAAAAGCATTCAATACAAAAATTGAATTTATCATGTCCTGGATAACTGAGAATATTCACCAATAAAACATATTAAATGTTACATTGCCATTTAAACTTTAAATCTTTTAGGATTTTTTTCATTTCCTGTTGAATTTCTTTCCTCCATTAAACCAGTATCTAACCTCCATTAGATGGCACGGTGGCTCAGTTGGTAGAGTTGCTGCCTCTCAGCGAGCAGGTCCCTGGTTCAAACCCCGGTCCAGGGGCCTTTCTGGGTGGAGTTTGCATGTTCTCTCCGTGCATGCGTGGGTTTTCTCCGGGTGCTCCGGTTTCCTCCCACAGTCCAAAAACATGCATGTCAGGCTGATTGGTAACTCTAAATTGTCCCTAGGTGTGAGTGAGAATGGTTGTTTGTGTTGTTTGTCTCTATGTGGCCCTGTGATGGACTTGCGACCCGTCCAGGGTGTACCCCGCCCCTCGCACAGTGATTGCTGGACATGGGCACCAGCGACCCCCGTGACCCAAAATGGAATAAACGGGTAAAGATAATGGATGGATGGATGGATGGATTTTTTCAGACAGAAATTCTGCTAATAGTAACATGCCTGTGCATTTCTCAGATTGCACGAACAGTTTAAGAAGAAACGATGAATAATCAACTTCCAGCAGCAACAAAATTTTTAAAACAACAAAATCAAACCAAATAAAAGAAAATTGTTAAAAAAGGAAAAGTGTATTTTTAACATCAGCTGGTGGATTACACTCAATACCCTCCACCTCATGTTTTCCATCTAATCGTGTTAGAATTTCAGTCTTGTGCTAGTCTGTGGTAACATGAACTCAATTAAAGTGTCTGGACTGCACTAATGAAGACGACAAGAGCTCAAGATCAGCAGAACAACACTGAGATGCTTTTATGTTGAGGAAAGAGTTTTAGCCTTGACTTTCAAGGAACAACCTCCAGAATGGTTTGTAAAATAAGTTCAATCACTTTGAAACTGCACGCCTCATTGAGTTTTGGTGCTTCACTCCACCTTTAAAGACTTAAAAAGTCTTTCACTGTGAATCTTTTCTGTTGGTGTAAAAGAAAGGGGAGCTGCTTTTAAAAAGTTTCAGCTGGTTTGAAACTGACTTTGCAATCCAGCTGTGAATCAAATCTTGATACCTTTAAAAAAGTAAGGAAGAGGCAGATCTTGAGAAAGAGTGAAAAAGACTCAGAGAAAAGAGAAAAAGAGATATGAAGAGAGGAATAAAAGCAAAGTGAGGTGCTTTTGCAATGGAACGAGCACAGTATGGGTGACCTGCTGCGACAGAAGAAGAACGGTGAACATAGACCCGTGGTGGTGTGGAGCTAAAGGCCTCAGACAAACACACACACTGGAAAACACCATACATGCAGGCGAAAGAAGCCCCCTGAATGCTTCTGCGCAAACCGATACCCGACGCACACACCCAAACGTCCCCCTCATTCAAACATCTCCCCACATTGGCCGGATTAGGAACACTTTCTCCTGGGTGTGCAAGGCTGCCCCACACACAAAGAAACACTCGGGGACAGGATTAGTAGGCTTACAGCGGATTCACATATGTCCAGTTCAAGCAATTGGTATTCAAAGCTTTACACTTTCAAATGCCACCAGGAGAGAGCAAAGCCGAGCAGCGCTTTTCTTTGCACTGGCAGCACCTTCACGAGGAGGGGGCTCTTTTGCTGGGCCAACAATGAGGCTGTGAATACACATTTTTACTGTTCTACCAGGGCGGCGTGATAGCAGAGGCAGACGGTATTATCCAGGTTTGAAGTGCAGGGTGGGCGGGTGCAGACGGGACGGATGGTCGGATGGAGAGACAGATGGATGTCTGGAAGGATGCTGGGGAGGCGATCAGAGAAGGAGAGCTTCGGTTCATTCCACGAGTGTTATTGTTGGTGGCCTGTTCCTCCACTCCACCTCCACAAAACAGATCTGGAGTGGACCCTTCAGGATGGAGAGAGACCCTCAGCAGCTCAAAACACAATAAGACGGCCAGTTCAGCGTGTCCTCCTCATAATGTAACACTTTTAAAGGCCAGCCTGCTACATTTGTTACTAAACAAACCCAGTTACTTGAAATGGTTGCAAGATTGTCACACTTATTTTCAAAGCTATAAGTTAATGGGTGTGTGTGTGTGTGGGGGGGGGGGGGGGGGGGGTCCTGTAGCATTTCATGTCAAGTTTCTATAAGTAGCATAATAATTGCATGATTTCACTGAAGCATTTCATAGTGCAGTGTTCCGTTATTTTAATAATTATAGATGCCAATGGGCTAAAAATAAAACTTTTTTTTTTTTTAAATACAATAAAATGACTGTTTTAGTTTTGACATGGGTAAAAATATGGATATAATATAAGGAATTTTACAACAGTAGCAACAATAGGGCCTGTATTGTGACAGTTTATACACTCTCTGTTCTATCTTTGACACACACATGTTGCCTCCTGGGCAGCAGCGACTTAAACTTGATTTATTTATTTTTTTATCATTCCACCTGGACTGTCTGAGGCGCGTGCACCTGGCTTTAATTATTTACCGCCTGATGAGCGCAACCAGAGTTTGTGTCAAGCTGGAGAGAAAACTTGGTTATTTGTCGTCCACCACAGGATCATCACTCAGAGCGTGAATGTCATCCTGCATGCGCGTTGAGTTAACTTGGAGTTTGTGCGTAAATTCCATCTCCAATCTGTTGAGCGAATTGCAGCTCTTGGGAAAAAAAAAAAAAAACTAGGAAAATACTTTTTAAGCAACTTGCTCAACATGTGGATCTAATGCTGAACAAATAAATAAATGTGAGCTGAGCTGACCTCCAGCAGCGTCCTGACAATGTTGCGCGCCGCGGTCACTGCACAGAGCACGCCGCCCCTTTCTCACCCGCACGTCATCCCTCTGAAAAAGAGACGCGCTTTTGTCTGTCCGCGTGTATAAATACGCGCTATGAGTGTCCTCCTAAACACACACACACACACACACACACACGCACACACACAGTGTGTGTGAGAGAGAAGGCGGCAGCCAGAAGCAAAGCGGTCACTGGTGCGATCAGAAGGAGAGCAGAGGGGCAGGAGGCGCGCAGGCACCATCAGGTGACCAGAGACAGACGACAGGAAGAGACTGAGTGTGAATGAAGAGAGGGGAGGGAGAGGAGAGAGTGACAGCGCAGAGGGAGGAAGTCAGCAGCGACCTCCTACCCAACCAACTCCACAGCAAAGCCATAAAATGAATTCAGACTCCAGCCCGAGCAGCAGAGCTTCTTCCCCGGGCATGGACGGCATGTTTCTCCGAGACCACCACCATCCGCACCATCACCACCTCCTCCACCACCACCACGTTGGCTCAGCTGTGACCTCCTCCACGCAGAGCGGCGAGCAGCAGCGGCAGAAGGTGACAGGCGGAGAGCACCTGCGCTCTGGAGACCCCAAGTCCGTTTCAGTGGGCAGCAGCAGCAGCAGCAGCAGCAGCAGCAGCAGCAGCAGCAGCAACAAGTACAAGCTGAAGAAGCAGGTCACCGAGGAGGAAATGTACCAGCTCAGGCTCAAGATCAACGGCCGCGAGCGGAAGCGCATGCACGACCTAAACCTGGCCATGGACGGACTGCGCGAGGTGATGCCCTACGCGCACGGGCCTTCAGTGCGGAAGCTGTCCAAGATCGCCACGCTGCTTCTGGCCAGGAACTACATCCTGATGCTCACCAGCTCCTTGGATGAGATGAAGCGCCTGGTGGGGGAGATATACGGCGGCCAGCACTCAGCCTTCCACTGCGGCACCGTGGCGCACGCTGCGGGCGGCCCAGGCGGCCATGCGGGTGGTCCCGCCGCCGCGGCAGCAGCTGCAGCCGCCGCCGCCGCCGCTGCGCACCAGGTGCACCCTCTCCTCGGGAGCGCGCTGTCCTCCTCCACGTCCTCCACACTGTCCAGCGCGCTGCCGGGACTCACGTCCATCAGAGCGCCCCACCCGCTGATGAAGGGCTCCCCGGCTGCGCCCCCGGCCCTGCAGCTGGGCTCCGGCTTCCAGCACTGGGCCGGACTGCCTTGTCCCTGCACCATCTGCCAGGTGCCTCCTCCTCCGCACATCCCCATCACCTCCAACGGCCTCACGAGACTCACGGGGGAGGGGAAGGACGGCCTGAAATGAATGACTGACAGCAGAGACAGATCAAACTTTTGTAAATAAACAATTCAGGGCATGAGGGGGAATTTTTTTTTTTTTAACATTTTGCCTCACTGCATGTTGTTGTTTAGTCTGTTTTCATGTTAAACGTATGAGGAAAACTCCCTCCTTGTAACAAGGACTTATTCTAAATTTTGCATCTGCAGATTCTTCCTTCTGTGTGCGACTGAATTTAATTCCGCACTATGTGAAAGATGCATGGACGCTTTGTTTTGTTTCTCATCAGTTTGTGAAAACGAAGAATGCTTTCTGTGCCTTGTACCAAGGATGTGAAACTTAAAAAAAAAGAAGACATTTAATGGGTTGACTGGAACGAGTCTGCCGCGTTTTAAAATTTATTTTAACTGCGTGCCTCATATTTTTTGTCTGTTTCCGCTGAATTTAAAGTTTTATAAAGTTGTTTTCTTTTCTTGCATGTTGGTAAAAATGATCACCGCATGACTGTTTTTGGCCAAACTGACGCTGCGTGTTTATTTTTGTACATTCTTGATGATTGATTAAATAAAAGAAAAGAAAACGATATTTATTATCGCGCAGCGTCGCTGGAAGACATTACAATAAAAGTGGGTTTAAGGAAACTGTCTTTTTTCTTCTATTTTAAATATTTAAAAAAACATGACGTAATTACAAACATAAAAAAACAATAATATGAATTCCTTATTTTTAAGTCTGCCTTTCTTTTAGAATAAAAGCTATTAAACTGACTTTTTTTGCACAAAAATAAATAAACTCCCTTAAATTATTTCCTCGATTTATGCAAAACACACTTCACCTTAATAGGTTTTATTTTAAATAAATAAATCTGATTTTATGTGTGCACATTCCCCCAGAAATTGGAATCAAACAACGATTTCAGACATTTTTTATGTAATTTATTTAAAATTGATCCAGTCATTTCTGCAACATTTGTGTCTAACATGCTTATCTACAAAAAATGCATGAATAAATTTAAAATGAGTCATTTAAGATTTAGAAGAAAAATAAAAGATGGCCGCAGCGCTTGAAGGGTTTTATGTTACAAATAAAACATTTTTCTGCTCAAACAAGTCACTCCCCCTGCAGCACGACATCACCACCTCATTTTAGGTGAGTTAAAACTCAAATCTGGTCAGATTGCGTTGGATACTTAGGGAGGAGAAATGCGCGTCAAAGGACTGCATGCATGCGCTGCGCCTTTTGCGGACGCGCAGGGCGGTTTGTCCGCCAGGCTCCCATGGGTGTCCCCCCCACGTCTCATCTCTGCAGCGACAGAATGTATGTTTGTGAAGATTACAAGTTAATTGTTCACGAGGGACCGAGAGGAGAAAATCCCATCAGAGAAAGGAATCGGGATTACAGGCTGCTAAATGTAGGAGATTATACATTCACCCCCCTCCTCCTCAGTGTCAGCGCATGCAAATGAGAGCGTGGATTATAGGAGGGGGAAAAGAGCTGAATAAGAAGAAAAAAAAAAATCTTTTGTAACTTCTTTAAATACAAGTTCCGTGTCTAGAAAAAAAAAAAAAAAACAGTGAAAGAGTTCATTTTCCGCTTCTTGTTTTGTCTTTAGGAATGAGCGCATGCAGTCTGTCTGTCCCCCACAAGAGGCCAGATGGGATGGAAATAACTGGGAAGCCGCAATGGCCTTTTAACCACAACACCGAGGAGGATGTTGTCAAGGGAAGCGGGCGGTTTGTGAGTTAATAGTCATGAGTTGGGGTAATTACTTAAGGTTTATTATGCTCTGCTTTCAAAGGGAATGGACTCTTCAATGGGCAGAGAAATACTTCTTAATTCTGGCTAATTAGGAGCTGCGTCCAATGGACACAACTGGTGCTGTTACACATCCAGAGACTGGTCTGTTGTGAGTGAAGCACAAAGTAACCCAAAATACAACAAGAGGCACAAGAGAAATGCAAATCATGAAGTCTGAGAGGATAAACGCAGCTTGTTTACTTTTTATTTCATTTTGGAAGTTAGAATACTTTTTTAAAAATCTTTTTCATGTTTTTATACAATTATTTATTACTATTTTCTTACGTCCTAAATTATGTTTCTTCTCATCATTAAGGAGCAGCAGAAACCTAAAGTTGGAGGGAACATTATAAAACGACGCACCACAATAAATAAAGTTCAATTAAAAAAGCACGTTCTGCTGAATTAACATATGAAAAAATAGAGAGAGAGCAAAACATTTAGAAGAACAAAAGGAAAAACAGCTACAAAATGCAACAATGTTTATCTAATTCATAAACGTTTCTGCCACTTTTTTTTTTTGCAAAAGATTTTAAGGCCTTATGGAACAAACATAAAAGTCTGTGTAAATAGATTGTTGCTGAAATGAGTGAATCATGGTTTTAGATTATGCCAGAATCAGAGCATGCTCTGAAAGTTGCTCCGTGAAGGAAAAGATAAATCATTGGAGGAGAATTGACAAACAAGAAAAAACAAATCGACGTATCGTAATAAAAACCGAAGTGTTTTTGACTGAATGGACTCGTGACCATCAGCTCCTCTTTTCACTGGGTTTGACAAACGACTGGTCCTTTTGACGGCACACCTGTTACTGCGAGCCACTTAAGGTTTATCATTGAAACAACACACACACACTTTTTCCTCCTCTTGGACACGGATGCTAAATGCTGTCGGCCTCATTCAGCAGCTAACCTTCAAACGAAAACTCTTTAAAGTTGTTTTTAATTAAAACTCTGATGGTGGCAACTCCCTATAAAATGAATTATTACAGATCTGGGTAAACAAAGCTTTGTTGGTGAGACCGATACATTTGGGCTCATTTAAAGTTCAAACAGAAGCATTTATTTTGCTGATGCGTTCACCGTGCAGACTCCAGCCGGTGTGACAGTGTGTGTGAGAAGTGCGTTGCTGGTTTGTTTTACTTACTCGGTCAGTGAGCCGCTGCAGGGCCAAAGCCCAAGGGCAGCAATTGAAAATAAATTTCAGTTGAATAAGGAGCAGCGGACGCATCAGCCGAGACGCTGCAGAACAAAAGCAGTTGAGGGGATAAGTTATTGACCCGGCTGACAGCCTGAACGACATGATTATAACCTCCTGGTCGTGCTCTGTGTGTCTTATGTGTGTGTGAAGCAGGTGCAAAAGGCCATCGCCTCCATGAGCTACCTCTGTCTCCCTCTGCCCTCAGGGAGGCCTCAGGGCGCCCCCCCCCCCCCCCATCCTCAGCTGATTTTACACACTAATGTATAACCCGTAGTGCCAAAACAGAAAGCATATTTCCATCATAAGAGAGGCTTGCCATTGCCATTAGTGACTGGGCTCATTTGCATGTTAATTGTGTAGTTAGAGAAGGGGTGCTGACATCTCCTTTTGTCCATGCAGGGTCGAGGGAAGTGAGAGGACGGGGCTGATAGAATGACACCCCCCTCATGTTTTTGTTTCAGGCTGCTCGGTGTCATCTGTTATCACGAGGCGTTCGAAGACAGATCAGGTTGATTTATTAACGTGAAGTCTTAGCTCACATGAAGGGTCCAAACTGAGCAAACCAAACCAGATTAAATCAAGTTCCTTACCTCACAGAATATAAAAAGTAACACTTTTGTACTTAAATACTTAAAGAACCATGGAGGTTTCATTACATTCTTACAGTGAATGTATTTTTAGGCAAACTTTTTTTGTTGTCGTTGCAAAATTTATACATTTAGGTGTCACTGAACCTTAAAATGCTATTGATGGTAGAAAAAAAGTTTTACCGTTTTACAATTTTGTAGGATAAAATATACGAGTATACATAAAAGCCATTTTTTACGTAGGTGTCAAAAACATTAAACTTACTTTTATTTTTTTTTAATCTGGTGTATTTTTTACTCTTTTGTATTCTGGTTAACTGTTTTGGATGTAAGCATATTTTGGTCTTGGAAACTCACATAAGAGATAAGAATAATACTGAGTACCTTAACCCTAATAAAAACTAAAATACTGTGTGTGGGCAGATTTCTGCACCTTTTATAAATGAGTAATCATCAAAATAGATGAGCTGAAAAACAAGGATAGAAAATATTCCTTTTTTTTTTTTTTTTTTAGAAAATGAGGCTTCAAAATAATTACACTAATGTTTTAATGTCTGAAACAATCCTACCCTGAGACTGGGCCGAAACTTGAAGCAAAGAAACTTGAAGGCTGTTTAACAAAATAAGAGTCCAGGCAGCAAACAGAAGCTGAGTGGAGTCAAAGAGGTCAGGAAAACTGAAAACGCAGAGAAAACAAAATAACAGCTTCAAAACTAAACACAAGCAAGAACTCAAACTGCAAACACAAAGTCCTGGATCAGGACTGAGTTGTTTACACAATTTACTTGTTAGCAATAGTAGATTATTAGTTAATTATTATTATTAGTAAATCTACTCATTAAATGTTTAAATCAATGAAGTTTTTATGGCTTTTTGGTGAGAAGAGGTTCGTTGTTCAAGAACAATTTAATACAAATTTCCCAGAATAAAAAAATCACCCCCCACCACCACTTTGTTTGTGAGAATCACTTAAATAAAATAAGAGCTGACTGCCTTTCACTTTAAGTTTCATTTATGAAATATTAAAATAAAAAAATGTTTTTTGAATGTTGTGCACCTCGTGAAACACAATACAATACCTACTGAAAAAAGAGAATGCACGTGAAAGTTTCATCCATCCAACATCCATCCATCCATCATCCATCATCTTCTGCATGTTCTGGTGTCAGGTCACAGAGGCAGCAGCTTGAGTAGGGAGGTCCAGACATCTCTTTCCACAGCCACCTCTTCCAGCTCTTCGGGGAGGATTCCAAGGCGTTCTGATGCCAGCCAAGAGACGTAGTCTCCCCAGCGTGTCCTGGGTCTTCCCCAAGGTCATCCAAGTCAGACATGCCCAGAAAACCTTGAGAGGCATCCAGGGGGAATCCTTACCAGAACCACCTCAACTGGCTCCTCTGAACGTGGAGGAGCAGGCTCCACACTGACTCTCTCCCAGATATCTGA